GCTTTCTGCTCCCGTAAAGATTTACAGCCTCGGAAACCCTGTACAGGGTCGCTATGAGTCGGAACCGACTCCACGGCACATAACAACAAATATATATATATAATCTCCAATAGTTTTATTGATTAAAGCAGATAAGATCTATTCTTTACCAGGAAATATAATTGTGGTTACTTGTCTAGTGAGTAATCAATGTCAGTATTTTTAAGCATGTCAGTGATTCCAACAATCCTTTTCCTCTAGTTCCCCAAGCAAATCCTGAGGTTTTATTCCATTTCTACCAAGTGTATGTGGAATCTTGTGGAATCGCATAAGCACTCATTGAGGTTGACCTCAGGACCCTCTCCTGAATTCAGAGATAAAATTCAGAATTGCAGACTCATACAGGGTTGCTAATGAAAACCAGAAACCAGTATTAGGGACAGAGTCTACCTTCATTAAGCATTATACAAAGGCATGATATAACATTACAATTTTTTCTCAGGAAGAAATTAGTCTAATGTAAGCATTTTTTTTCCAGATAGATAAAAAGTCTACTTGACAATTTTGTGCCATGAATGAGCGTTATTATTTGTTATTTGCACACAGAATCAGTGAATCTGCTCCTCGATTTTCTTTCTCCATGGTTCCCTGTCATAACCTAAAAGTCACAGATAAAATAATAAGGCCGGAACAGGGGACTTTAGATGTCTCTTGGGCTAACCTTTGCTCCTAAGAACCAATCTTCTGTCTATACTACAAGCCGAGTGCATTGCATTTTAAAATAGCTTCTGTTAAACATGTTGCTTTTGTTAGTAGCCATCAAGTCAGTAGCAACTCATAGTGCCCTATGCACAACACAATGAAACACTGCCCAGTCCTGTGCCAACCTCACAATCATTGCTACACTTGAGCACATTGCTGCTGCCACTGTACAAATCCATCTCCTTGGAGGTCTGCATCTTTTTCACTGGCCTTCCAACTTACCAACATGATCTCCTTCTCTAGGGACTGGTCCCTCCTAACAATATGTCCGATGTATGAGAGATGAAGTCTGGCCATCCAGACTTCCAAGTCGCATCCTGGCTTTTCTTCTTCCAACACAGATTGGTTTGGGGTTTTGGAGTCGTTTTTGTTTTGTTTTGCAGTTCATGATACTTTCAATATTCTCCTGAAAGACCGTAACTTAAATGCATCAATTCTTCAACATTTTTCCTTATTCACTGTCCAACTTTCACATGAATATGAGGTTTGGGCCAGGCACACCATGTTCCTCAAACTGATATCTTTAATCTTGAACATCTTAAAAAGTCTTGTGCAATACATTTGCCTAATGCAATACGTCTTTTGACTTCTTGACTGCTGCTTCCATGAGTATTGATGGTGAATCTGAGAAAAATTAATTCTTTGGCAATTTCAAAAATTTCCCCATTAATATGGATGTTGTTTATTGCTCCAGTGGTTGGGATTTTTGTTTTCTTTACATTGAGGTACAACCCATAATGAAGGCTGTGGTCTGTGATCTTCATCACTAAGTATTTTAAGTAAAATACCATGCTTGGGTCAGGCACACCTTAGTCCTCAAGGTGACATCTTTGCTCTTCAACACTTTAAAAATGTCTTGTGCGGATTTGCCTAATGCAATACGTCGTTTGATTTCTTGACTGCTGCTTCTATGAGTGTTGATAGTCGATCCAAGAAGAATGAAGTCCTTGACAACTTCAATCTTTTCTCCATTGATAAGAATGTTGTTTATTGGTCCATTGGTGAGGATTTTTATTTTCTTTACACTGAGATGCAATCCATACCAAAGGCTATGGTTCCAGTAAGTTCTTACTGAGCTGAATCTAGCCTCCCTGCCATGTCTACTATGGATCCTAGTTCTGTCCCCAGGATACCACCGATCATGGTACTCACCCCTCACAAAAAGCCACTAGATGGTCGAGGGCAGTTCTGTCAGAGCAGCTCAGTCAGTGCCATTGCTGGCCTGTGAGGACCCTCTGTGTAAGTTACAAAGGGCCTCCTGTAGGATGACAATCCAAGTGGTACTCCTGTGTGTGGCAGGCCACAAATCATCATCCCTTATCCGGATAGGTATAGCCCATGTCAGGGTGCATGAACTGGAAAATGAAGCAAGGGCTGGAATCCCCCTTCACCTGGGTGCCTCTGTGCTGAGCTCAGGCTGCACAACTAAACATTAAGGACCTGAGCCCCATCTTCTCTCCTTCAGGCGAAACCATCTCCACTACCTTCCATCATGTTAAATGCACACCTTGCCATCAGTCAATTTCCTCTAAACTCAAGGTTGTTTGACCAGTGGAGTGCCCTTGCCTTAGATGTTCTGCTTTGATTGATGCCTACAAGTGGGGTAGGTTCTGGCAGTCATATCAGAGCTGACTCATTGGGCTGTAACCTAAAGCTTTCCTATTACATCCAAGCATTCTGCTGCTGCCATATTATCTCGGCTTGTTCTGGTTTGATTTGGTCTACTCTTGGAGCTTCTTGAGAGCTTTAAACATCCGAATTTCTATCATCCGGCATATTTCTTCTTTCTCCCAGTTCATGTCAGCCTGCCCTTAGTGTCTTCATTTGAGTCATTAATAGGAATGTGTCACAGATCAGATCCCAAGTCCTGAGTTGCCTACTCTACTCCTTTCCAGACTGACCACAGTTCTTAGGCTTGCCCCATCTATTAGTCCCCCAGCTCAAGTTTTGCATTTGTCTACATGGATATCATGTAGACATGGATATCAGGC